TTTTTGTCTTCCCCAATGTCACAGCATGGAGCTACAAGGGGGAAGACCCCACGCACACATGCCTTCAACACACACACATGCCCTCAACAAACCTTCTGAGATGGCAGGCTACAAACACATGCACACATACACACACACACAAATGCAAACAAACAAATACATGTGCATGTCTGGGAGAGGTGAGTTAAGAGATATGCAGAGGCCCATCAGGCACAGAGGTAACTACAGGGGGAGGGGTCAAAATGGAAAGCCTCAAGGATGTCTGAAAATCTAAAAATATGACTTTTCCAAAATATTTACTGAATCTTCCTCCCATAGAATAGTAGGTATCATAATAATAGTCTCTTTGTGTGGTCTCTGAGCAGATATTAATAGGTTTTCTTGACTCACCAACACCACCTCTCATTTCAGTATATTCCAGTATAATCTAGAACCATAATGGCAAACCTATGGCACATGTGCCAGGGGTGGCACACAGAGACTTCTTCATGAGCACGTGCACCATCACCAGCTGCTCTTCTGGTTTCTGGTGCACTGGCCAGCTGGTCTTCAGTTTCCAGTGCTCCAGTGCGTGCACAGGCATGCATGAACAAACGTGTTCCAGTTTGGGCACTCTGTGCTGAAAAGGTTCATCCTCACTGATCTAGAACCTTTACCCTATTTTTTTTCTTTAAGTTTCTGGAGAATGCTTCCACTTAGAATATATACTAGTATATTAGAGACTAATATTTCATAAAATTCTGAGCTCATTGAATGATAGGAATACAAGAATAAACATGCTATGTCAGGCCTTGTTCTATCTCATAGTTGAGGATACTAATCTCTTTGGATCTGATCAGGTTTTCTATAGAGATCTCTGTTTTCAGAAAGAAAATCTTTAGCCACATTCAATTACTTCCAACAGCCATTATCAAAGGATGAAATAGAAAAGTCCTCTTTGAACAAAGACTGTGCCCATGTGGCAGTGGAATAATTGAATCAATGGAACACGTTACATGCTATTTTCCCCCATGCAAGTACACATCAGAAGTTATTATTTCTACCTTTTATGAAATAGCCTGACTATTCTAATTCATTTCATCTTTAAATGCTGTTACCAGATCAATCTGGCTCCATCTGTCTTCATTAAGTACTACGCAGTAGTCTATATTTTATGCTGTAGGATTGATTCTAATCCTCTTAGATACTTTGGAATACACTCTTCTATATTCTACAGCTGGTCTATGACCAAGTAAAGATTTGATAATGACAGAGATATTTATTTTCTTCTGATTTCCAGGCTACACAATCTCCTTTTGTTTTTTGGTAAAGAGGTAACACTTCTCCCTTTTCTTCAATATTCAGAAATTGTTCCTAATAGATAAGTGGGCTTTTAGCAGTTTAGGTTTATTTTTGTATATACCTTTTTTTATTTTAAGACAAACATACACAGACAACACATAAAAATCATAAAACCATCTTCCATTTAGTACATACAGTGTGTCAGTTGGTTTAGAATCTTTTGTGCGATCCTTTCATAATCATTGTTCACAATTTATATCAATCTCACATTGTCAAACTAACATATGCTTATCTATTTATCAATAGTTAATTATCCTGCTATTTATTCCATCAATATTGTATTATGCTATCATCCAATGGTTATGTGTCTACATTATATTTTGTATCAATCTATTAAGCTTCTATAACAAAATTATCTATTCTATTACCTTACCATGTCTTTTTATCCAACCATTGAAAAAACAATTCCCATATCGTATAAAATTGCTTGTCTTCTTGTTCTCTAATTTCAAATGTCAGTTTACTCATTTCACCACGCTCCATATTTTTTTTAATAACTTCCTCCTGCATGGGTATTTTGTCATTTTCCCAGTTCTTTGCAAATACAATTCTAGCCACTGTTAAAACATTTACAATCAAATATTTCAATTCTTTATTGTATATGTCCGGAATGACTCCAATAAAAAGATCTCTGGTTTAAAGTCTATATGTTGTTTTATCATTTTTCCAACCATGTGTGGATTTTAGTCCAATATTTCTTTGTGTCCAAACATGTCCACCACATATGATAATATGAACCAGGTATCTGATGACATTTCCAGCATTTATCCGATGTATTCTTAAACATTCTCGCAAGTCTCGTCAGAGGTAGATGCCACCTGTAAAACATCTTATACAAATTTTCTTTATATGCAGTTGACATTGTCATTTTATAATTTTGAGACCACAATTTTTGCCATTTTTCTAAATCAAACCCATATCCAAATTTTTTCTCCCAAGCAATCATCATTTCTTTAACTTGTTCCTCCTCCAATTTAAATTCTAATAAATGTCCATAAAGTTTTTAAATTACCTTTTCATCAGTACCCATCAAAATTTTATCTAAGTCATTCAACTTATCATAAATACCTTCTGCTTTAGAGTCTTTATCAAACCTAGATTGTTTTTGCAAATATGAAAACCAATTCATTTTTACACCTTTTTCTTCCAACGCTTGCATAGATTTAAGTTCACCCTTTTCATTCAATATCTCACCATATCTAACTGTTTGTTCCTTTTTATATATTATTGGATAAGAAAAAGCTTCAATAGTTGACATCTATGTTGGAATTTTTAAGTAATATTGTTTTTTTATCTTCTCCCAGTTCAAAAACAATGCCTCTCAAATATAATGTCTTCTAAAATACCCCTGTGTTTTAGTTCCATTATACCAGAGAAAGGCATGCCATCCAAATAGCAAGCCATGGCCTTCTAAAGTCAATAATCTACTGTTCCTTAGTGTTATCCATTCTGTTACCCATATCAAACTTGTCACCTGGTAATATACTTCCCAATTGCTCAAGGCAAACCCTTCTCTTACTCTTGCATCTTGTAACAGTTTTAATTTTATTCTTGCTTTTTTTACCCTGACAAATATATTTCAACACAATTCTATTTAAATCTTCAAAAAACTCTTTCCCTAGTTGAATAGGAATTGTCTGGAATAAATATAAAACTCTTGGCAATATATTCATCTTAACTGGGATATTCTCCAAACAATGATAGTTGCAGTTTTTCCCATTTTATCAAATCTGTCATAATCTGCTGTTTGAGTTTAACATAGTTATCTTCCTTCAGTGTACTACATTTTGGTGTAATATATATCCCTAAATATTTAACCTTGTTCATGACCTGTATTTCTAAAATTTCTTCCAACTCTTTCTTTCGTCTTACTAACATATTCTTTATTAATATCTTTGTTTTGTCTTTATTTATTCTCAAACCTGCTACTTTTCCATATTCTTCTATTTTTTTCTATTAATTTGGGTGCTGTTTCCAATGGGTCTTCTAATATAAATACCAGGTCATCTGCAAAAGCTTGCAATTTATACTCCTCCTTTTTAATTTTCATTCCTTTTATTTCTTTTTCTTCTCTAATATTCCTGTTTAACACTTCCAATGTTAACACAAACAGCAGAGGCGACAATGGGCAGCCTTGCCTTGCCCCTTTTCTTATATCTATAGATTCTGTTAATTCGCTATTCACCATCACCTTTGCAGTTTGTTCATGGTATATTGTTTCAATGGCTTAGATAATTTTTTTACCAAAGCCCATTTGTATCAATTGCAGTAAAATAAATTGCCAACTCACATTGTCAAAGGCTTTTTGTGTGCCTAGAAACATCA